ACAGACTGAAACTCTATCCACTGAGCCAAACTGGCTAGGGCACAGCATTCTCTCTTGGTGATTCGACTACTTATCCCTGAGTCTGCATTCCCTACTGTCTTCCATAACTATACAACCACCCATTTCAGCTGGTCAAATGGGTCTCTGGGTGAGGGGAGAAATACTACATTTCCCAGCCTCCTTTGCAGCTCACGAGGTCACATGACCAAGTTCTGACCAATGAGTTCAATTTGAGCAAAAGCAAGTCTGTTCCTTGCAGGAGTTTCCTTATGCCTCTCCTTCTCTTCTTCCTATTTGATGTAATGGCTGAATTCCAACAGCCATCCCGGACTGTGAAGTGATACTGAACACAGAAGCTACACATGGTGAAACAACTAGGTCCTGACAACATGGAACATCATACCAGGGTTGAGGTGGCCCCTCCAGACTTGAACATGAAAGAAAAATTATCTTCCATCTTGTTTAGCCACTACGCTTTTGGAATTTTCTATAACTCACGGCTGAACCTAATGCTACTAGATCCACCCTTTCAAAGCTCTGGAGGCATGGACTCTGGATTCTTGGTTTACCATACTACAGAGAATCATCATTTTCATCCTCTTCCCAAATTACATAGTAAGAAATCTGAAGACTGGGACTGTGTCTTATACATTTGCATCTTCTCCTGCCCCATGAAGCAGGAGGCTCATACACAACACAAAGCATGTCTGAAGATTGAGTTGGATTCTTTCTACTATACTCCGCATGGCTTCCTAGTTCGCATATCCTCAGCAGGCCACAAACCCTCCTGGTATGGCGCACCCAAGGAGAGCTGCCCTTCCCCCCATCCAGGCAGAGTGCACGCCCCCTCCCAGGAGGAACGTGCCCTTACCAGGATGTCCGAGTCCTCAGGTGTCTCCCCTGGGGCTGGGCTGGAGCAGTTGCTGAGTTTGAATATCCAGTAGTCCTTGGCGGTGACAAAGAAGTTCCATGGCAGGAGGCCGCCAATGCCCAGGCTGAAGAAGATGATGTAGGCACCGTTGAAGCGGTCCTCGGGCCTCGGCAGGTTGGGCGGTGAGCGGTCCAGCAGCTTCTCAAGCAGGGCTTCCTGGTCCGAACACAGAGAGCTGCTTGCGGTTCTATAGGTGGAGTTTGAACTTTGGTGGATGTTATCCTCTGAGACAAAGGCCACTGTTGAAACAGAGACAGGGCAGGTGATCAGAAGCGAAAGCTGGCTCAGTGGTTGAGTGTCGACCTGTGAACCAGGAGGTCACATTCAATTCCTGGTCAGGGCACATGCCCAGGTTGCGGGTTTGATCCCCAGTGGGGGGCGATTATTTCTCATTATTGATGTTTCGATCTCTCTCCCATCCTCTCTGAAATAAATAAAAATATATTTTTTAAAAAAAGAAGCTAACACTGGGGACTCACCCATCCTACTAAGCTGAACAGATGCCCACCCTGGGGCCTATGGAGTCACCAAAGCATGGTTAGAGAGTTTCAGCTTTAAGGATCAGGGAGAAATGTGGCCTAGTGGGGCCTGTGGCAATCAATCCAGAAGGGTAAACCTGGGCTCAAGGTATTCACGTTTCTATGCAGCCGTAACAAAGGAATTAGGACCCTTGGCGGGCAAAGCATGCTCTCTCAACTCTTTTCAACTTTATGTGAGAAAGGAGCAGGAGAGTGTGTAGAATATGCTACTGTGTGTGCAAAATAGCAAGGCTGGGTGGGCGGAGAGGAGACTGTACACACGTGTGTCTGGAGAGATACCAAGTAATTTCCAACAGTGCTGCCTCTGAGGAGGGATGGGGACCGGGAAGGAGGGGACGTCACCTCATACTCTTTTGTGTCTTTTTGAATTTTGAAGTAGGTGAATGTATTACCTGCTCAAAATAAAATCATAAATAAGTAAAGGCATTCAAATTAAATGACTTTTTTTCTTAAGCCCATGGTGTCTAGAACTGCCTTCAGAAGCCAGTTTGAGACATACGAGTCCACTCCCTCACTTCAGTTGTGGGGAAACAGAAGTCCAAAGAGTGGAATGTCACAGGCCAGGTAAACGAACAAGCCTGGGTTTGAACTGCCTGCGCTCCCACCTCTACTCATCACGTCCCACCGGGAGACCACCACTCCCTACCTGTGGCAGCTCCAGAGGCAAAGGGAAGGTTCTAGGTTGGCAGCAACTGTTGCCCACATGGCCTTGGGCACATCGCCATGTTTCTGAGCCTCAATATCCCCATCAGCAAACCTAGGTTTGTTTTTGTGTTTTGTTTTGTTTTTTCAAAAACCTAAGCCTTTTTATAATGGCTGTGTAACTACAACTGCCAGCAAAGCCTGGCCCACGGGAGCAGCTGTTGGACAAAACATCAGCATGTTCCCTGCCATCATGGGCTTGTCACCTGGCTGGCTGGCTGGCTTCTGAATTTGACTGCAAGGTCGCATACCTAGTCTATGCTCTATGTAGCACCTAGGATGTGGCAGCGGCTTGATAGATGGAAAATGCTTCCATAAAGCGGAGGACAGGACACCCTAGTCCCTCTGCAGTAGCTTCCTCCCTCCCCAATAAATCAATAAATGAATGTGCCTCGGCTCACGTGGGAGGCTGAGCCTTAACTCGGAGCATCAAGCCAGGCAGAACGGGCCTTTCTTCCCTGGTGAGATGGGAACGCCCTGTCGCATAGGCACCGGCCTTATCCGTTACTTCAAGAGCCTCACAACATTCCTCGGAATTAGGCAGCACAGCAATTATTGTCTACTTTTTTTTTTTTTAATGCAAAGAATGAGGCCTTAAACACACTTGATTTGTCCCACATTCAAACAAGTAAGAACTCCCAATAGTTAAATAATTAAAACCCAGTACTCATGCATGCTAAGGTGTGTGTCTAGCACTTGAGCCTGACGACAGCCTAACAATAAGGTAGGTACTATTCTAAGACCCTTTTAACAGATGAAGCGTGAGGCTCAGAAAGGTTAAGCAATTTGCGGAAGGCCACACAGCTACCAAATGACAAAAGTGAGGCTACACAGCCAAGCAGTCTGAGGCCCACGGGGACTCCTTGGCCGTCCTGAGAGCAGGCTGTTTGGCAAGGTGAACGAGTGCCTGCAGGCTCCAGGTACCATGGACAGGGGGCCTCCTCCAGGAAGGCCTCGGGCAAGCGAGCTGTGAGCAGAGGTGAAAGCACCTTCCTCAATGTTTGCTGAATGAAGGAATGGCCAGGATATTCTCCCCCGAGGCTGCTTGTACCAGGCGCAGGCAGGCAGGATGCTGCCTGCAGGGTGCCCGCATTCCAGTCAGCACGACTATTTTAAACTCTCCTGGTTGAGCTTTTAAACTCTCCTAGTTGAGCGGAGCCTTTTCCCAGCCTGACTCACAGGGCACCCAGCACTAACCAACTAACCAGACAGTACTGGGGCGCACACACCCCCACACTCACTCACTTTCTAAATTAGTGTTTTAAAATTATGGCTCCTGTAGGACAGTGGACAAAGGGCAAGCAGTTTTTCCAGATGTTCCAGCTACAAGGGTGGTGCAGGGCCAGCAGCAGGGCCATGGGGCCCACACTCTCCGGGCCCATTCTCAGCTCCAGGCGTCTATTTGTCCAGGGCCATTCAGCCTTGACGAGTTTCTGAAGAGCTGGGACTCTTCTCTCACGCGGTCACAGGCCAGGGCACTGGCCTGAGCAGTCTCATTACTGTTTATAAAAGCGAGCGGCTGGCGTTCAGATTGAAAAGAAAAAGGAGGAGCTGGCTGTCTGGCGTGTCTCTCCAGCACCCACCGGGGCTGGCCACACGGGGCCCTGCTCTCCTCCTGGGTGCCCGGACCAGGGGCAGCCCCTATCCAAAGAAGCAGAAACTTGTGGGGCCTGGGGCCACTGCAGACCGCCCTCTGGACCTGGTGCTGGTTCCGAGGAGGGTTCTGACTCTGGCCGAGGTGGTCTCCCCTCTGTGCCTCCTTTTCCCCATCTGTGAAGTGGGGCTGGGGCTGGGGCGGCGAACCTGCTGGGAACGCATCGCTGGGAAAGGCCAGGCGCCACGCAGAGGCCATGGGAGAACTGGCCTCGGCGCGGGGGACACTCCCAGGCTCAGGCGCAGGCTCCCCAGTTTGGGGCAAGAGTCAACCACTTACTTGGGGCTGAGTTGCCCTTCCCCTACACACACACACCCCCTCCCCGCAAAACACACACATCCAGATGGTGAGGCCCAGGAAATGCACGAGGAGGAGGAGGGGCGAGAGTCCGGAGGAGAAAGTAGAGCCAGAGAGAAGGACAGTGAGAGGAGGGGGCGCAGGGGGAGAGCGGGAGGAGGCGCAGGGACCTGGGGAGGGGGCCGGGGCGGGACCCGTGCAGCGGGAAGGTCCCGAGCACCGGTGGAGCAGCCTCCGGCCCGGCCCGGCCCGTGGGGGCGGGCGCCGAGCGCGGGAGCCCGGGGGTTGACCGGGACCCTGCAGAGCTGGCCGGGGGCCAGGCCGCCGGACCTCGGCCCGCACTTACTGTCGCCACCGCGCCGCCGCCGCCGCTGCCTCCCGGGCCGCCGGGGCCACTGCGACTCGGGCGTCTCCGGGACCCAGGACTGGGTACGACACGACCGTCCCGCCCCGCCCCGCCGTCCGCGCTTCCCGGTTTGCAAACCGGCCTTTCATCCTCCCCCCGCCCCGCGCCCGTTCACAGGCGGAGACCGAGGCGCGGGCTGGGGGACTGCTCCGCGGCGCTGCAGCGCGTCCCTTCTCCACCCGCAGGGGACCCGCGTCTCCCCTACCCCTCCGCTCCCAGACTCCGCCCCCCCCAGACCCGCAGAGCACCCCTCTGATTGCAGTCCCCACTCCTCCCTGGTCCCCGCCCCCAGCGCCACCCCAGGGGCCCCCTCCTGCCCCAGAGCCTGGAGCTGGCCCCAGACCCCCAGCTTTAGCTCAGTGTCAGGCCTCCCGTGTGCCAGGCCAGCGCTATGAAGACTGTCCTGGTCATGGTCACACTGAGGTAGGGGGGCAGCGGGGACAGCCCTCAGGACCCCACCCCCGACCCCACCCACCAGGCCTCCCAGGAGCCGCCAGACCTTCCTGTCTAAATCGCAGACCCAGCGGGCCTCGTGTTTTCCTGAGTTCTGTAAGCCATGCTAGCAAGTCATTGAAACAGAAGATGGGGGGGTGTGGGCACTCCCAACTTTGTAGCCAGGACGGATAGAAGTTTTGTTATACTGGGGACTAGCTATAGTTTTAAGAAATACGAAGCATGCTCTGTTGACCGTGATTGCTTTGTTCTGATTAAAGAAAGGACTTTCTAACCTGACTGGGAGTTGCCCCTGGGACCTGGGAGTCAACCTTGGAATGCGGTCCATTATAGAAAGATTAACAACCTTGTTTCCCAAACAATGGAGCCCCACCTGCCTGTGATCCGTAACCATTGTACCCATTCCTGTTCATTTTGCCTACTTCCCCAGGTAATCTTCATCCTACCCTATATCAGCTGCTAGCTTTTGGGGGGCTGCAGAGCAGATTTTCCTGGATGACCTGCTGCTCTCCTATACTGCCAGCATTATATCTTAAAAGTATATTTTTATTTATTTCAGAGAGGAAGAGAGAGATAGAAACATCCATGATGAGAGAGAATCATTGATCGGCTGCCTCCTGCACACCCACTCGGGGATCGAGCCCTAAACCCAGGCATGTGCCCTGACAGGAATTGAACCGTGACCTCCTGGTTCATAGGTCGACACTCAACCACTGAGCCACACGGGCCAGGCACCAGCATTATGGGGATCAACCCTCATATATGATTCAATCCTATTTCTGCTTAATTGGCTCAAGTAGTGATAGGCAGCTCTGACCCACTGGTTGTCTGGTTTCAGTTTGGGTACCCTGGGTACCCCATATTTGAGACTGGCGTCTGAAGTGTGGGCAACCTTGTGGCTCTGAACCCCAAAATCTATGGAGCCTGGTGCTGGCTCCAGGTAGATAGTGCTGTGACTAGACAATCAGTGGGTCCGGGCTGCCTGTCACTACTTGAGCCCTTGAAGCAGAGACAGGGTTGAATCCTATATGTGCGTTCATTCCAATACTGCGGGCAGTAGGGGACAGCAGCAGGTCAGCCACAAAAATCTGCTCTGCAGCCCCCCATAAGCCAGCTGTTTATATAGTAGGACAAGGATTACATGGGATGTAGGAATTACAGGCATGGAGAAGTAGGCTATGCAGGCTGGAGTGAGATGCCATTGTTTGGGCAACAAAGTTGTTTATCTTTCCATGATAGGCCAGTCTTGAATGAGAATGAACCCCATTCCAAGGTTGACTCTCAGGTCCCGGGGGCATACAACTTCCAGCCAAGGTAGAAGATCCTTTCTTTAACCAGAACAAGGCAATCCTGGTTAATAGAGCATGATTAATATTTCCCATACCATAACTAGTCCCCGATATTCTTGTTTTGCCAGAATTGAATTGAATCATGGTGTCCTGAGAGTTGGAGAATTGATTGTTGGTGTGGAAAAACCCACCCACTTCATGTCAGTAGTGTGGAGAGTAAAAACAGAGCAGAGGCCCAAGGTGCCAAGGGTTGGGGTCCTGGTCCAGAAGAACTTGTGCACTTCCCAGGGGAAACAGTACCCTGGGGGGTGGGCCCAGGTGGGAGACAGCCAGGCCTGGGCACCAGCCACCCTTGCCATGGCCCCACATCCCTGTTGGCCCCACTCTACAGGGCACAAGTCCAAGGCTTAAAAAATGTAGCTGGCCCAAGGACACACGGTGGTGGAGCCTGCTTGTACCCCTAGATGGGACTCTGAAGTCCTCACCTGTTTTCTGTCCCGCCACGTGGCTCCCTGAGGGCCTGGCGCAGGCGGGTAGAGTGGAGAGTGGGATGGAGGGCGAGGACCTCTCAGGAGGGGTGGCTTGGAGATGAATCTCAATGGCATGTGGCCATGGAGAAGAGCAGGGAGGATGCTCCAGGAGGGGCAGAGGGCTGAGGCAAAGGCCCAGGTGACAGCGGGATATGTCCCTGGAGGGTGATGCGTACTTGGTGGGGCTGTAAGAAAGGCTGGGCCCGGCTTGGGATGGCCCCTCAGAGCTAGAATGAGGGAGGGAGGGGGGGTGTTTCCAGGAGACCGCTACCAAGGCGGGTCTGCCCCAGCACTACCTGTAACGTGTGGGTTCTTGACTTCGTGCAGGAAAGACTTCACAACACGAGTCCAGGTGACTGAGAGGAGGTTTATTAAAGCTGGAGGCAGTGAAACAAAGCAAGGGCTTAAGATAGAAGAGTCAAGATCACAGCAACTGTGAAACCGGACAACCAATGACCCGGGCTACCTGGAGCCGAGTAAGCAGAGACAGGGCTGAAGCACATATGGGCCTTGATTCCAATAATGCCAGCAGCACGGGAGAGCAGCAGGTCATCTAGAAATCTACTCTGTCTCCCCCATAAGCCAGCTGCTTATGTGGGGTGAGAGGGCAAAAAATACATGGGGAAGTGGGCAAAAGGAATGAGACTGGGTGTGATGGTTACAGATTGCAGGCAACGTGGGCGGGGGTCTGCAAAGGGCAGGGGGCGGCCGGGACCCCATCGTTTCCTTTCCTGCAAGAAGGTTGTTACTCTCGCCAGGATACTGGGACACTCCCATGTCCGCCTGCATTTCCAGGTGGCAAGGCTGAGGAGGGAAGGGACAGCATGAGCGACAAAAGTCCTTGGGTCCCGTGAGGGCAGCGGATCCAGGGCTGTTCCTGGCCCAGCCCCCAAATCATGATTTCATCTCTTTGGTGCTTTGTTGCTCTGTCACATGACTGCTTTTCTCCGTGCAAAGTCCTGAGTGGTATACAGTCATTTCAGTCTTCACTTTGGGAGAACGCGTGTGCATGTGAAGGAGTGACCATTTCAGACACCTGCTGAGAGAACCAGAGGTATCAGGAGGCCCCCTTTAGTGCTCAGAGGTGTGTGTGTGGGGGGGGGGGGGGCTTTCTCCGCGTGGAAGAGGCGCCGGCCCCTTGGGGTTAGCCAGTTGCTGGGACTGGGTCTTGGAAGGGACTCGGGATGGCCTCCGTTGCTAAGACAGAAAGACTAGGAGGAAACAGGTTGCTAATGCATCCGCTGGGCTGCCTCTGGGCCAGTGTGGGCTCGCCTTCTCCTCCAGGACCTAGACAGATGGCAGCGGCAGTTCTAGCTTGGGGACAAGATGAGGCAGGCAGCTTGGGCCACACTCAGCTTCCCAGAGAATGTTCGAGGCTGTGGGGCGGGGGAAGGAGTACATTGCAATAAGGAGCTGAATTTGAAAGTGGCAGAGCCACGATTCAAATCAATGCCTGTCTGTCTCCAGAGCCCAGTCAGGGTTCCATCAAAGGTGGCTGGTTGTGGGGGTCACACAAGCTCCTTACCTCACCTGAAGTCTGATCTGTAGGAGATGAAGCAATGGGAAGAGCAGGATGAATGCTGAGGCCTCCTGGTGCATGTTTGTGTGCTGGTGCTGCCATCTTGTGGCTGTGCTCTGTCATTGCCCTGCTCACAGGCTGGGCTTGCTCAGTGGGGCTGCATTTCCTGCTTTCCAGGGTAAACTGGGCCCCCAAGAGGGCCTTGCCTCCTGCCTCCTACTCGACAGAAAAAACAGAAGCTGCCAGAGAGGAAATCCTCATTGCACAGCACCGTCTGGTCCCATCAGCCCGTTTCTCTCCCCCCAGTTATAACGGTCTTCCTCCACCATCGGAGGGTGAAGTCCTGGTACTGTAACCGGGATTGTGTCCAGCTGAGACCGAACCTGGCTCGCCATCCGCACCAGCTCCGGAGAGCAGGGCACGCCAGGCTCGCCTCTGCTCCCTCGGGGCCTGCACTGCCCGGCCCAGAGCGAGTGGTTGCTGAGTGACTGACTGAACGCAGGAGCGAGCAGGAGCTGGTGCACCTGGGGAGATCCGAGGCGCTGAGGAGGCAGAATGAAAAGTGACATGAGACAGGCCAGAGCGAGGTGGAAGGCGCAAGGATGCTGACTGGGGTCCCAGTTTGCTCATCTGGAGGGATGATGGAGCCTCTGCTGGGACAGGAAATGCCAGCAAAGCCAAGATTTGGGGGCAGGTCAGGAGTTCTGACTTGTCATGTTGAGTTTGAGGTGCCTTTGAGGCACCAGGGGGCAATGTCTGGGA